ATTCTGGCTATTTTCTGATCTGTGTCCTTTTTGCATGCATTCATTTTTCAGTCTGTACTGTATTCATAGCATTCTGCTTCCCCACACCTTTACCTGCAAAAAAGTAACATAAATACATCCTTTGAGGCATGATTCCTCTCAAAATGCACATTTCAAAATGCACTTTGATACTATTTTTTGGGTTAAAAACTGTATCGGAACATTTAGGAAATGCAAAAGCCAGTGGACAACTGCCCAAAGAAGTTCAGATCAGATGATTTTGCACCAGAACTTAAAAATATCAAGTTCCTGGAACATCCTACATCTGACAAAGCAACTTCTCACAGGTGTGAGAACTCTAAAAACTAAAGTAAAATAAAAATATAATAATGTAAATGCTGCCTCCTAAAGGTATTAAACAACAAATGTATTTAGTAGCACATACCAAAATTTTCTTACCAGAAAATAGGATGTGCTTATTTGGCCAGAGTGGACACAAAATACAGATTAATGCAGCTGGTTTGCATGACATGACAATCTGTTGTGTGTGCTAAGCCATTGTAGGTTGTTGTGCTGTGCGATATGAACCATATTGCAGAAGGAGGCTGGTTTATTGTTAAAAGGCCACCCTCCAAACTCTGGCTTTTTAAAGGGAGGGTTGTACTTATGAGTTGTCATGTTGACCAAACATGGACAATCAGTCTAATTGTGCAAACTGGAAAGTAGCTAGCCAGCAAAAACCTCTCTCTCACTTTGGCTACTGCCAATGACAATTACCCAACAAGTGCCCAAGCAGAACTTTGGGCTGGTTGTCAGTGACTTGGGCCCCCCAGAACAGATTCATATTTTTCTCTCAGACTGAGTTTGCTCAGTGCCTACCCCTGAATCCAGCAGTTTGGCTACTTTGCAAATGGTTACTATAATTATATGAAGTGACTTAAATAGTAACTATAACTGAGGCCTTTAAAATGTGTTAGGGGCTTTATTTTGATGCTGCCATGCGGTCATATAAAGGCAAAATCAACTCAGTCCATGTAATTGAACAGCTATTGTCAATAAATATGTGAATGATGAATGACCAATATATTAATTAATATATTTCTATACCACCCAGTAGCAAGATCTCTCTGGGTGGTGAGCAACAGTAATAAACACAATAATGGAAAATACAGAATAACATAATAAAGCAAAAAATTAATTAAAAATAAAACATTAAAAATTAAAGCCACATTTTTACAATGAAACAGATGCAGCCAGTCTATACTGCTAGGCCTGCAGAAAAGCAGCTTGCAAACAGCTGAATAAATCTATATTGGTATGGAAATAATCTTTTATTTAATAAAGGCAAGAAGGCAGAATAGTTTTATTACTGTGTAGGCAGGACATTTTCCTGCCATTTCAGTACTGAGCTACAAGATAAAATTTCCTTCCAGTTTGCACAATAGGTATATAGTGCTAATTTATATCAGGGACATCTTGATAATGCCCCTAAAGTTCTGGGAGAAGTAACTATTCCTTATGACTTGTGTGTCCAGCATTTGGCACTGGCAACATGCCTGGTCTTGGCTAGAAGACAGAAATTTAATGGTTTCCACTCAGAAGAGCAGTTATGTCAGAATAGCTTGCTCATCCTGGAATGAGTCGATTTGCACCAAATACTACTTTTCATAGCACAATTATAGCTTAACCAGTTTGCTCATCAAGCAGGAACCACAGTTGACTGCTGGAGCTGTATGTTTAGTCCTAAATTATCTATTTATCTGAGTACAACTGGCTATAAAGTTAATTAAAAAGTTTTTTCACTGGAGTATAGAAACAAGTCCAGAATATGGTTTTTACACTTGAATCCTCTTCTTTCAAAAAGCTCAGAATAGTTTAAACAGGGACTTTCTCATCTAAGCACGGCTTGAGGAAGCCGTATCAGATGTCCTCTGATTTCCCCTGGCTATATGCCATGTCGAAACAAAGGCAGTATCATTCAATAGAGAAGGTGCGAGAACAACAAAGCAGAGTCTCCAGTCTTATGTGGATTTTCATTACTGAGATTAACATAAAACTGACCTATCCCTCAGCTTCTCTCTACTTCAGTCACTAAATAAGGACTGCAATACAAGCAATACTACCCCCCGTGGTGTTAGTTCTGCAGACTGAGGGGACACCTAATCTCATGAGACTGCACAAGTCTCATGGCTTGCAAGTAACCCATATGCTTAAGACAAGCAGGAAGTCAGTCTGGGCAAGCTGCTGACCATACCATACAGGTACATTCTCTTCTATTTCCTGGCAAGCTTATGATGGTCCCTGTGTAGCCAGCTATGAGAAAAAATTGTAGCGAACAAGAGGTCTTCGTCCTCTAACTACAGATAGGCAGATAGGTAGATCTGTTAGATTATCTTGAGCTGACCATTGTTTTGAAACACTGCAGCCTGACAGGGGCCATCGTTTATTGTGACAGAACACGTTTTGCCTGCAGAATGTTCCAGGGCTGAGCCTGGGCTTCTCCAGGTAAGGCAAGGAAAGAAATCTGCCCGAAACTGGGAGAACCTCTGCCAGTGTTGACAGTACTGGGCTAGATAAGCTTGTCGTCTGACTCAGTATAAGGAGCACTACACCTTATTTTGTTGTTTCCTAAGAAAAGGCCCTCTGTATTCAGTGGTGCTTTTTCCCAAGTAAATGTGTATAGAAGGGCAGCCCTATTTAGCAGTCCTGGCTATTGTCTCTGGAGTAACTCCTTTGCTCTTTTAGAGCAGAGGTAAGAATACAACAGTTCAGCCTAGAGAACATAGCTAACCACCCTCGCCCAGTGCCCAGCAAATGAGGGCAACACCACCAGGACACACCCATCACAGGATAATACCCTAGTAGTCACCCACACAGGACCATGGGAAAACACTGCCATGATCTCATCCCAGCCGCCTCACCCCGTGCAGAACAGACAGCCCACCAGGCATCCCAGCATCATATGCTGAATCTATCACCACCGTGGGGAACCATCTGCACACCTTGGTTTAAATCCCTTTGCTTCCGGTGATCTGCACATCGCGCTTAGTGCTACCTAGACGCACCAAGCTCTTTAGCTGCCTCTTCGCCTCCGAACTCATGCTTAGTTTATGCTTTACCAAGACCCCTAGATTCTTCATGTATGTACTGTTGTCAAGCCAGTACATATATGTATATTTATGCATGCTCTCTTTCCTTGCAAGCAGAACTTTACTCTTGATGCTGTTGAACTGTTTTGTTAGTTTAGACCCCGTTCTCTGTCTTTTCAAGATAATTTTGAATTCTGCCCCTGCCGTCTACGGTAATACTTACCCCATTCAGTCTGATGTCATCTCAAAATATGCTGAGCAGCCCTTCGTCATCCAAATAGCTTAGAAAGATGAACAACACATCAGTGTCAGGAATCTGAAGCTGATGGTCTCATGGGCACAAACCTGTTTAGAGGGTAGTCAGTCAGCTGTGCAGCCTTCAGCAAACTGCTGCAATATATCTATTCCCTCTGCCACAGGTGGGCCCTCCTGGGTACCTCCAACACATATTTTTCCTACCTTTTAATCTGTAGTCCCCTAGCCTTTGTGCGGCTCACCCACTCCACTCCACAATGTTGAGATGCCTCTCTTAAGTTTTAGCATTTGTTGCCAGTATAAACAGTATGTTGGTATTGGTGTTTTTGCCTTGCACACACACACAATTTGCTTTCATCCACTTCCTCCCATCACTGGACTGTGGCTCCCAAGAGCGTCTCAGAAATTGAATTTAGTCCTCAGGCTTAAAGGCGTTCTGCACTCTTGCTCTATGCAGAAACACACGTCAGAACATAAGAATTTTCGTTTCCATAGAACAGATTTAATCAGATTTTGCTGCATACTTCATGTTTCTTGCACAGCCTTGGGAATAGGGATTATCTTAGCTGCTGCACCTGTTTGAATGCTGCCTAGAAATAGTCAAGAGAGACACAAGGACAGCAATGGTCAGCTGCTACATCATGTAGATTGTGGGCCTGGCTGCTTAGGTAAGAAAGCATACTGCTGTAGCCAGACTCTGTGTACTCTATCTGCCCTCCATGAAGCCAGAATGTGACTCCACATTAAGCCAAGGGAATGATGAGCAGTCAACAAGGAGCCACAATGGCTGGCACAGAGCACCCATCATACAGAACTTGTGATGGTTCATGGGCACCAACTCCTCCATCTTTCTGCATGGTCATTCTTAACCTGTGTGAGACATTGTTGCTACCCATTAAGAGGCATGTTTACATAAAATCAAGGTGATTATTCCGTTAGGGGGAGCAGAAATTATATGGGACAAATATGCAGTTGCTATGTTCTAGAGCAGCTTTTTCTGGTCATCTTCATTCGCTTACCTGAGTGAAATACAATGGTTGCACGTAGCCGCAGTTGCAGTGGTGAGGCGAAAATTCCCAGCTGGGCTTTTGCATGGGGAGTCCCAAGTCTCCTCAGCTACTTGAGATCTCTGATGCCTGAACATTTCTCCACAGCTTCCATCAGGAAAGTTCCACCTGCAAGCTTCAACGGTTTTTGACAGGAGGCACCTATAGAGCCTTATGCTCCATGTTTCTGCATCCCCTGACATATCGGGGATTTCTGTATTGCCGAGGATACACTGCAATTGGTTGCGGTTAGTCTGAATGCTGTACTCCAGTATGGCTGTTGGCAGAGCAGCAAGCAGTGCAATTTGACTCTCCACGGAATTCAGTGGAAGTGCTTTGATGTGCATCACATCTTTTGTTGGGGTAACTTTACATTTGTATAAAGAAATTAACTCTAAGACTAGAATTTAAAATAAGGTTTTTTTGCTCCTGCTGTTGCACCATTCATCAAGAACACCCTGGAAAACACCCAGTACTGGCATTACAGGCACCGTGAAGGGGACTTACACCAGCTGCCAACCAGTAGTGTCCTTAATCAACCTAGATGACCCTGTAATCCAAACAGGGGGGAAATGAATTAAATTAAGCCTACATGTAAGTTAAATTAAGGACTTCCAAAGCTTAACACATCTCAGATTTTAAAGAAATTTATTGGAAATAGTTCTTAGATTACAAACAAGCATTTCCCATTTACAGAATGTGCCCAATAATGTATGGTAAGAAATACAGCTGTCCAGTCTCCTATCATACAACCCTGCCAAATTACAGAGTCATTTACCTGGTTAACTTTTCACTCAGCCCTTTGAATAGTTTATTTGTGATCGAATTACCTATTTACAAGGTATTCCCTGAAAAGTGCCAAACTTCGTCTTTTACCTTGCTGGTACTATGCAACAAGGATACTGTTAGTAGTGGCAAGGACGTTTCATTTTTATGACGACTACACTGTGAACATGTAACCCACTTATTCTTACCTCAATCTGCTGATTTCTTTAAACTTAACATGCTGTTCAGTTACAGCAATATTAAAATTTTGGACTCAGCAGTATATATTTAACCTGCTAACTTGTTCAGCTGAAGTTGGGTAGTATTCAGGCTGCATGCATGTTAGTGCTTGATAAATTATTGTGAATATAATATGGAACAGGTCACCAGGTAATATTTTACACCCCTATCCTATCTTTAGCTTGAGTTGTTCCCAAGTGTATCAACCACCCCACCCCATCATTCAAAGGAATGATGGCATAAGAAACACTGACACTCAAATACAAACAACAACAACATCTAAGCATTTTGTGAAACCTCTGGTGCATTTTAAGACAAGAGCTTTGTTCTTTTATGTAATCTATGGTCAATTAAACAATTGGTTTTACATTACATTGTTTTATCAAACAATCTCCCAAGCAGCATAGGATAAAGTCTTCTATCAGAATCATTCAAGAGTTAAGCTGCTACATGCTACAGTAAAACTAAGCTACACATATGTAAGATTTTCTTTTTCGATAAGTAAAACCACAGCACATCCGCTAACTGAGTTGCATGAGTGTGCTTTGAACTAGTCATACAGTCACTATCTGACAAGCTTTAACTTCTCCATTTTAAATAAAAACACTTCCATTTATACAGAAGATTTAACAAAGATCAGTGTTTACATATGATGCAGCCACTAAGTATCTACATTGCTTCCACTTTAATATATCAACATAAAGCATGAGTTTGATTCACAGAATAAGTAGGTCCACAATTGTAAGTTAACAATAACTCTTTATTGCTTTATACATGTGGTGCTTTTTCAAGGCACTGTGGCATGGACTAGAAAACCTGGAATGACTTGTGAAGGAACCTGGAATGACATATGGTCAACATGGAAAGTTCTTTAGAAGCAAGACGACAGCAAATTTAAATTCCAAGTTATCAAACATCAGGAATGAGAGTTCATAGTTCACAGGAGAAATGTAATTATCTTGTTTAAACATCAGCTCCTTTACATGCCCATCCTGATACTCTGAATAATCTGGAAGATCGCTGCAAAGGAAAACAGATTCAGATGTTGGTAACCAAACAGCTAATGTCTGACTTTGTCATCTTAAAGATTTCTTGATATTGACAAAGCTGTTGGCAGCTTCACAAAAATTTTAGGAAAGTTTCCAAAAAGTTCAATTAGAGTATAATAAGCTGTACAAAATATAGAATTTTGCCATCCCTTGCTTTATATAAAGAAAATGACATTAGGAATAGCAAATGGTAAGCTAATCCATATGGCAATCCCTATCACACATGACCCAATTTTCCTAGCTGCAACTTAGGTATTTAAACTAGTATTAATAATTTTATCTGTGAGACTTTCAACTCTACCCTACCCAAATTTTCCCAGTCCCACCATTCAATACAGCAAACTCCCAAGCAAGTGTGCATAAGACCACACAATCGTAACAGTTTTCCAAGATAAAACTTCTAGTCCTTTGGTCATCCTACTATAGTAAGTTGCTCTTCTTGAGTCAGCTAACCTATTACTTGGAAAACAGTTTCCTACTTATTCAGATCAGCTACCCTGGAAAGTAATAAACCTGTCACTTAAAATCAGCTATGAATCCACAGTAAGATTTTAGATCCCTTCTTTTTATCATTTGTCAGTAAAAATGCTTTGTTCACTTTCTACATGTATACAAACTTCATATCTTAGGTAATAATCCCAATATAGTTTTATTATATCATTTTCAGTAACAGAATTCAAAATAGGTGAACTATCAGTCTTCATGACAGAGTTCAGGAAGCCTGTTTAACTTTTTTTTCTCCTTTGTCCTGAGCCACCTGGTGTACAGCAAAACTACCTTCCATGTAATTTGACTATTTAAGTAAGTGAGCTCAAGCCACAAAGGGCACAACCTTAATATTAAGAGGCAAATCCCACTGAGTATGCAAGGTCGCCTGGCTTACTTCCATGTACACGTTTGGGACAGTATTATGAAACTAACTTCAAAAGATGCTTACACAGTCTCTCATGTAACTCTTTGTTGTTCTCGGCTTATATAAAGATGGATGTCTTTATATTTTGCAGGAAACTGGGCAAAAAGCCTTGCTATAAGCTGGCTGTGAATACTGAAATGGGATCTGTGGAGGACAACTTTTCTTTTATTAAATATCATGCACTGCTTAGCAATTTAAGCATTTTTTAAACGTAATATTACTAGTAATGATGAAGGAGTCACTGCTGCTGAAACTTACAGCTACACTGAAGCTCCTTGTTACCAAATAACATCCAATGTTAAAGTTGCTCAACTAGTACCTACCTAGAGCTCTACCTTGTGGGTCTGCCTTGCCAATGTAATTCTCTTTACCCAGCCCCCCTCCCCAATGCTCTACACATATTCCACCCTCATCCAAAGGCTTGGCAAGATGGCAGTTACCATCTTTAAGATAAAGCTTGTTCATCCCACTCCAGTCCTGACTCTAAGTTCCTGCATTGAACAAGTAGGACTTTGTCTCTAACACCTTACAAACAATAACAGCTCAGTGTTCTTAATACATCACTGAAAATAGCTTATGTTGGGAAAGTTGGCACCTTCTGCCTGCTCATGTGACTGAACTTATCACAATATCAATAACCGAAGAACTAGAAGTACTGGATACTCCAGGAGCTACTGAAGGGAAAGATACTGCATTTGAGAAGTAAACAAGGGAGATGTTGTATTTTATTTGAATTTAAAAGTAATAAAATGCTCAAGGTTTGTCATATAGCCTGAACTCACAAGAGCTAAAGTCACCTTCAATGCAGTCCCCTCCAGATATGCTGAACAACTTGATGCTTGGAGCTGAAGAGCAACAAATCTGGAGGGCACTAGGTCAGGAAGGATGGCATAAAAACCTAAACAATGGACCTCTTCCCCATTTCAATTCTGGGAGTGGGGGGATCTGTAAGACAGGGAAAACACTGGTCTGGCCAAGTTACAACCAGTCCACACTTACCAGATCCACACACCACGAAGATGAACAATGCCAACAGCCAGGGCCCAACCGATGCCTTCTCCTCGGGGGCATTTCTCTGTGGGAACAGCCAGTAGATCAGGGGGGCTCACGATTTGTAGGTGGCTGGGTGGGTGCTCCACAGACGGAATCCCACGGGCTATCTTCCTTGTCCACGGAATCGTCCTCTTTCTCCCCCTTGAATCCCACCCCCCCCGACGCCTCCAGCCCCAGCCCAGTCTCCAGAGTCCACGAGAAGATTGGGGCAACGACCCTCTCATGTTGCCACTCCCCGGGAGTAAGCCCCATTGGTCAAAGTAGGGCTTCCTTTCCAGCAAGCGCGCATACGTAAGATAAAAAAGGGAGGAGGAGGTCATTCATGAAGCCCCCAGCCCGCTTAGGGCTCCAGGGGAGCTTCCCCTATCTCTCCGCGCCGGGCGTTGAGGACAGGCGGGGGACTGGGAAGGGGACACTCTCCGGAGGCGAGGCTTGCACGCCTCCGTGAAGGGGACCGAGGCGCCCAAGGGTCCCTCCGCCCCATGAAGCAGGCCCACGGCGGGGGGTAAGGGGGTCCCTACCGAGGTTTTGGCCACATTCCCGCGCTGTGTGATGTTCTTGCTGTGCTTCTCGTTGGCCATCCGGATCCGCTGCTTCGCCACCATCTTTGCCGCTGCTGCGACCGTCGCCTCTGCCTGGTTCTTCTTGTACCGAGCCGCGCTGCCTCACCGCTGCACCGGCGCTGACCGTCCGACCGACTGGCGCCGCGACCGGGCTACAGCACCTCCGCGCAGACGTCCAAGCGAGAAGAACTCGCCGACCCGACTCGCCTTTCTGCGCCTCTCCAGCCAAAGCCGCCGCGTAAGCAGCAACTGCCCCTCACGCAGGCCCCGCCCTCCGGAAACACATCGCCCAGAGGCGGGGCCGCCACCAGGAAGCGATCATCCCCTCCACCTCCCCGCGCTCCTTTGCATTCAGGGCAACGGAGACAACGACAGCCTCGCGTCTTTCCCTGTGGCGTCCTCCTGTCCAATCAGGGCTCGGCTCGGACAGGCAACCTCTCCTGAGGCCTTTTTACAGGCACGTGATGTGGGAAACTCCCTGCTCCTCCCCTCCAGTTGCTACACGTCACCCGGAATGAGGCTTCCGCTACTGAGCTGGCGGGGGACAGCAGAGGAGACGTGTACACTTCTAGTCAGTAACCTTTCCTTTCCGCGACCCGGAAGAAGTCCCTGGTCCGGCTCAAGATGGCGCCTCCCACGCCGCTTTTGGCAGGTGGGTTCAGGGCGAACCAATGCATGAATTCAAACCCACCCTTTAGTATGGCGTTACGCGTTATAGTGGTTATGACGAGCGTCATTGTCTTAGGGCACTTTCCAAGAGGCCTTAATATTGTACTTCACTCGCTTCGGGTGGTGGATTCTAGCCTCTTGGCAAAATATTCTGCAGTGTCTGCGAGGCGATTCTGAACGTCTCTGGGGAAGGGTAGAGCCCACGCGTTATTTATTTAAAGTGCAATCCTATGCGAATAGAGGCACAGTCCTACAACTCCCAGCATACTCTCGCCAGCCATGGTGGGTGAGGCATGATGGGAGTTGTAGGATTTTTGGGGGGGATCTAAAACACAGAATTGCATCCTTAGTAATTCATTAATCCATGCAATAAACTAATCTTTAGGGAGAATGTGTGTCTGTGCTTGGTTCCTGTATGGCCCATTTTTACACATATCTAATCAAAACTAGCATTTTGGGACTTATGCCAAAGTTAGTGTAGGGTTGTGCTTTTACTTGATGGGAAGTAATCCCCAAAAAATTCAGTGGGACTTAATGATTAATAATTAGGAGTATCCTTGATTAGGAATATCCGCCACTGAGCAAAGTGGGTCCAAGTAGACCCTAATCTGTCGATATTAGTTCCAGATTCTGCATCGACTCTTCGGTGTTAAGTGGATTGAGCTGTAATTGTTCCTTTGGACCAATACACTTTGGTAGATTGCTTGTATAAAAACCTGAAAAATGGAAGAATCAGAATTCTTGCATGTTTTATAAATATTTTGTAGCAATAAATATTTTGACAGACAATGCTTGTCATTTTATAGCACAGCAGAGATGAGAAAAGTGGTGTCTTCCTAAAATTAATATGGTGCATCATTATCAAAGGTTCAGGAGTCCCTTTATTGTATTTAATTCACCTACTATATTGAAAATTGGTCATTCTTAATATTCATGAGTATAAAAGAGACAATGTAGCTTTTCCTGCTTCAGCTTTCTATTGAGTTATTTTGATTCCTGTTTTATTTCACCTGCTGTAACAAGTAGGCCTCCTGTTCTACCCACAACAACCGCATAGATTTTGAAGTGAAATGCAACATAACCGGGCTGCAACTTAATAGCCCTGCTAATGGTGGAAATTGCAATTGCAATTCAGAGTATACTCAAAGAGAATTTTTCAGTGAAGGGGAAGGGTTTGAAGAGAGGAATTTCTTGCTGAGCAAAAGCCTTCTTTATGGACTTGATTAGGAAGGAATTTTCAGGATAAAGTCAATCCTTTCAGTATGTAGATTTAATTAGAAATTCTAAGATGAGCAAAATGTTATACACCAGGCTTTTCCTCCGTGCTATGTAACATCTTTGTTACACATTGGGGGTGTTCATCTGCAGACTTGGAGTGTTTTGACATTCATACACAGAGGAGGCCCAGTTCTGTGTCTGTATCTGATTTCACAGAAGCTACTGAAGTTGTGAACCAATTCTTGGGAATAGTAAATAGGCTAAATGAGCACAACATACTGAAGCTGAAAGGATGGCAGTGTTCTGTTGCTGTCTGATCTAAATTCTGTTTTAGATGGAGTACCAGTCTGTTTTGGATGGGGTAGTACATCCCTTGAAAAATAGGCTCATAATCTGGGAGTACTCTTGCACCCAATTTTTCTCCTGCATCCTCAAGTAGCAGCTGTGACCAGGGGTGTGCCAGCTGACCATTCGTACAAAGGTCAAGCCTGCCTTAATTTGTGTATAGAGTGGATTGCTGCATTATGCTCTATAAAAAGACTGCCTTTCAAAAATCTCTGGATACCTTAACTGTTCCAGAATGTGGAATGTAGAAAGGGTCCTTTTCTGTGGCAGTGCTCAAACTGGCATTTCCTTTCCCCTGAGAAAGTCAGTTGCTTCTCTCTCTCTTTTGTTCTAAAAAGTAACTAGATTGGTGGGCTGAGTAGTTTTAATCAGCTGATCTCTTGTTTTTTATGGGGTTTATAGGGTTTGATAGCATGGAGGGATTGCACATAAAATGGACATATATAGAGATCTGAGCACTGTAAGTGTGACGGAAAGGTAGAATATAAATGTTGCATACATATGGATAAATTAAGGGTATAAATAAAATAACTAATGAATTCCACAATCATTTTGGTGGTAGCACAATACAGCACTAATCTGAGCAGTTACAGTAGCAGTTCATTATGTGGCTAGAAAATCTCCGTCAGGAATATAAACAGAACTATATTTTGGCTGGAACAGAGGGTGGGTTTTCTTGGTTCTAGTGGAAGTGTTCCCCCAGTTAGGAGTGTTTTGCCCTGCAGAGGAAAATTCTACCCAGCTTTGTATTTAATTGCTAGTCTGGTAGACATAGCCAACCACAAACTTCATGCAGTTTGCTTGAAGTTCATGCAGGTGTATAAATCAGCTGGCAGAGGAGGGGTGAAGTATTCTGAGCTTTCTGTGTACCCAACATGGAAGCCAAGGTAACCAAACTTTTGGCAACTAAAGTTAATACCCTCTTCCACCTGCCGCATAAAAATACAACTCTCCATCCCTTCTCTGTCAACCTCCAGCAGGTTAGTGTGGATTTACTCAAAATTAAGTCCCATTCAGTTCAATAAAGCTTAGAGCAAAATATACTTATGTTTTCAGCCTTAGCTGCAGTCTTGTCCAGTTCAGCTCTTTGACTATGTTAAAGGATCGAGTAAAGGGCTACTGTACAAGTTGGCCTGTTCCTCTGCAAAGATATGGTCACAGTAAGACAATCATACCTCAGTTTAATAAGCCCCTTGATAAGCATGTAACTCCTTTGCATCTCCCTTTATGCTGCAAGCATTCAAATCAGGAGGCTTCTAATTAAGTCTCATTTCCTTTTTTATGTGAAGTAGAAAACTATGGTTTCCAGCTGCAGAGCAAGACAAGATCTCAAACCTTGTTCTGGAGCTGGTAGCCATAATCTTAGTGTAGACAAAATGGAAACAATGGTTAATTGCTCCTGGCTTGAATGCTTAGAAGAATTTGTGTGCAGGCAAAAGGTGTTGTTTATTATGGAGCTGAGATATGGTCATCTGAACCAGGCCTTTCTCTCTTACATGAACTTTAAGAAAAAAAAATCCTTACATTAATAAATGCTGTTATATTTTTCCTAGTGCGAGGATCTGAAGGACTTTATATGGTGAATGGGCCTCCTCACTTCACAGAGAATACAGACTTTCCAAGGTAATTCACTGTTCAGTTTCACTAAATGTTATATATAACTGATATGTTTCAATTTGGATTATCATTGGGAACTAAAATGGGGACTGAGGATCTTGCTGCCGTGCAAAATAACAGCGTATGAATTCTGTGAAGATGGACGCTTGTTTCTAGCTGCTACTTGAAACACCCCTCCTCCAGTCCAAGGTAGGATTATTCAACTAAGTGAAAATTTCCAGTTATCAGACTTTTGTAGTAGAGGGATGTCTTGGATCACATGTATACTAAAACTCTTTAGCTAGTGTGGGTAGTCCAAGACCCTAGACAAGTCTGAAAATGAGACATGGTTAGCCTTGGAATGGTGGAGAGTATCTGTTGTGTAGGTAAACAGCATCCAACATCCTCACTTGCATGTACACCTGAATGTGGATGGTGTGCACACAATCTGCCAGGACTGGGGGCAGGGAGATGTCAAGAGAATGAGAGCACATAGGATCCTGCATTTTGTTGCATGCTCTGATACACCTTGGCTTGGTTCCCTTCACCAGTGGAATGCATGTGCTCTCATAGAATTCCAACCACATAAATATCCTGCCAGAGTCCCTTCCTCTTAACCATCAGAAGAGCATTTGGGCTGTCTTCAGCAGTGCTTCCACACCTTTGAGGATATAGAAAATGGATGGGATTAAAGTCTCCTGTTTATTTTGGTCAACTGTAATGTTTATTGCTTGCTTCAGAAAAGTTAAAATTACAGTAATGGCATTTTCCCTTCAAATACAGATATATTAATCTGCCATTTAGGAACACATTTGTTTAATGTTTGCTTGTTTTGGGTAGTCTATTTAAATTATAATGGACATTTATTTTTATATTTTTCAGGGAGTCGGGAAAAAACACTAAAGTTTTTGCTTTCAGCAAAAATGGCAACCTCTTTGCTTGGTGTAATGGAGAACAGTCAGTACAACTATTCTCTTTTTAAAATATTTCTTAAGTTCTCTGGCATGTATTGAACAATTTGTAGAATATGTATAAATTGCTTGAGTATATATTCTAGATTTTTTAAAGGCTGGTTGTTCCTTCTAGTTGGAAAGTATATTATATGCTACAGTCTCCAAGCAAAGTAATACTATGTAATCCAGATCATTTTCACTGGGATTATCCTTGTTACATGGTCTTCATAGAACAAATAAAACATTAGCACCAAGCACACATCTCCAGGAAGCGAGTTCCATAATCAGGGTGCTATAGCAGAAAATGCCCTTCACCTCGTAACAGCCTTCCTTACCTCTTTCAAGGAGGGCTCTCAGAGAAGGACCTCTGCAGATGATCTTAAGGTCTGGGCAGACTCATATGGAAGGAGACACTCCTTTAGATACCTAGGCCCTAAACCATGCAGGGCTTTATATGTCGTCATTAGAATCTTAAATTGGGCCCAGACCTCAATTGGTGGCCAGTGTAACTGGTATAAGAACAGTGGGAAAAAATAGGTTTTATCTTGTTTTGGATTAGCAGTTTGCCCACAGAGATATATATTTTCAGTGTGCTTGCTTTTGAGTTCTATATGATACACACATGTCAACATCCACCTGTAAAGCTTTGATATGTCTGCTTCTGTTTTAGTCTGAAATACTAGAATTTGTATGAAAACACAGGAAGAAAAATGCCTCTGTATCATATGCTGCTTCCCTTCTCATATTAATCCATATTTAATTATATACATTCTACCCCCAAATGTCAACATAAAGTGCTGGTGAAGTTGGAATGGATACCTCAGATTTGACAGACCTCCAAACACAGAAACAAATTGCTGAAGCAGCACATTAGAGGGGCCTGTCACCCCTATTTATAAATAAATAAAATGTGCTCCAAATCTACATAACTCTACTTTTTAAAAATATTTTTGATTGGCTTGCAATGGTGTGGACATGCGCACTTTCATAGATCCGAGGTGGCCATCCTCACCTAAGCATTGTCCAGGAGGGTATCTGCTATTAAAGTACAACTGAAAGCTTTCATTGGCATTGATTCAGAAAGCTACAAAAAGCTTCATTTTTCACATTGATTTAGCTGGACAGCTGTCAAAAGGCAAGGAAAACTAAAATGGTGCCTGACTTTTGCATATGGAAAGGGGATAACCACTAGGTCATTTCTTTTATGGTGAGATCCTGAAAAATTCTCTCTCTCTCTCTCGCGCGCGCGCGCGCGCGCGCGCTCTCTCTCTCTCTCTCTCTCTCTCTCTCTCTCTCTCTCTCTCTCTCTCTTTTTTGGATCTCAGTCTTATGAAGGTGCTATCATTTTTCCATCTTTTCCAAAGAAGCTAAGTGCTTGGAAAGGTACAAAAAGCATGAACCACTCCTTTTGTAGGACCTGTCAGTTTTGACAACCAGTTGTCAAAACTCTGGTTTCTTTTAAAAGGGTTTATTTTTGGCTGGACTCTTCTTAAGTATTTCACAAAGACATATGCAAGCATGAAATAAGTTAGAAGTCAGTTGAAATGTGACCTTTACATACCTCCAGTCTCAAAAACTTGTTAATAAAATCTGTGTGGACACGTTTGAAGGGTTAGAGCTCAATACTTCTTCACTGACAAATATTCTTACTGATTTTTTCTGGTGTTTGCCAAAATATTTTGTTGGAGAGATCTCGAATGTTATGGTAAAAGTTAAAATTGTTCTGTTTTTTGTTAGGTGGTGCAAAATTAAGCAAAGTTAGGACAGAACAGCTCAAAGTGAGCTATTAATTAACCATTTTAATCAAGCTTTTTTGAAGTGACCTCTTTTGGTTCCAGAGTAAACATCATGAATGTCATCAGCTGCGATGTACTGTGTTCTCTTGATCTGCCAAAAACGGTTTGCCTTGAATTCTCTCCAAAGTGCAGTATACTGGTAACATGGCAGCCCTATACAAGTGAGTACTTCAGCAGTTAGTTCCAGCTAACTTCACTGTAAATGTGCAGTAATCATACTTGATTTGAGCAGTAGAACACACATGAAGATTTTACTGGTCACCTTCACAAAGTCCCTTTATCTCTTACAAAAGGGACTTTGTCCCTCATACAGTTCCTCACCAAAGGCGCATGAGCCAGTTTAGTGGCTGGGGAATAAGACAGTCGGTCCTCTTAAACAACAGAAAGATCAGTCTGCTTAAACAACAGAAAGCAGAGTGTGAGAATAAATGGTATTTTCTCACAGTGGAGAGATATAAATAGTGGGGTCCCACAGGTGTATCAGAACCAGTGCTTTCCAATCTGTTCTTAAATGATCTGGAATAAGGAGTAAGCAGTGAAGTGGCCAAGTTTGTGGGTGACACCAAATATTTTAGGGTAGTTAAAAGAAAGGGATTGTGAGGAGCTCCAAAGGGATAAAAATGGCAAATGTAGTTTAGTGTAAGCAAATAAGTAATGCATGTTGAGTCAAAAAGTCCCAACTTAAGTATAGGCTGATGGTATTTGAAATAGCACTGACTGATCAAGAAAGGAATCTTGGAGTTGTGGTAGACAGCAAGTTGACACAGCGTGCAGCTGCTGTGAAAAAGGAAAACTCAATGTTAGGCATAATTAGGAAAGGAATTAAAAATAAAACTGCCATTGTAATACTCGCCTTATACAAATCCTTATACAAATGGGAGATTTTTGTGCCTCTCAAGGTCAAATTGAAAATGCAAGCTGCTCAGGGCAGGGCCATGCCTTTTTAACTCTTCCCCACTCCCCTTATATTCTATAATATGCCATGTATAATATCCCATGTTGAAGGGATTATGGTAAGTAATGCAATATTAATGGAACAAACAGAGAATCATGTAGTTGTTCTATGTCATTGAGTTGTCTCCATAGATGATGGAAGGATGCCCTCCAAAATTCCCTGACCCTGACAGCTTTGCACAGCTCTTCTAAACCGAGGCTGTGGATTCCTTTATGGAATTGATCCATCTCAAATCTGGGGCCATCCTGTTAGACCAAAGGGTCATCATGTTCAATGCCCAGAGTTCAATGCCCAACATAAGACAAGCCTAACCTAGCCACACCATGTTTGCCCCAACTAAAATGAATCCCTATTCAGTCCAGGCCTTTTAGGACCAGCCTAGATAGAATATCCTTTTCTTGCCCATATGGCTATGGGGGAGGTAGATCAAATGGAGTCATTGTAAGGAAGGAAAGTTCCATATAGTTTGCTTGTTCTTCACCATACCTAATATTCCCTTCACACACCCCACCCAGTCTAGCCCAAAATCTCAGTTTAACCTTAAGAGGCATAACAATGAAAGATAAGGAAAGGGAAACAGCACAAGGGATATGGTTTTTGTTTTGTTTTGTTTGTTTTGAAAGCATCCCTCTGATCTCATAGCACTGATCCCATTTGTCCTGTGGCTACTTTTAGGGAAAGGAAATGATGGGAAATCCAGTAATGCATCTTCCAGGTTTGGTCCACAAGTGTAGAAAAGGTGCATTGTTGTTTGGGGCTTGCAAAGCAACTACTGGTGTAATTTGTTCCAAAAACAGGCATCTACAGTCAGGGTTTCACATCAGAAGGCACATGTTTTTGATAGGAAAGTAAGTGTGGCACAGCTAAAGTGTGACTGAGAATTTTAGTTTAGGGTGCAAAACCTGTTACAGCTATTATTTTTTGAAAATAAAAATACTTCTTCATATCAGTGAAAGCAAATGGTAAAAGCAGCAGCCTGTTTTTCTTGTTTGCATATGCCAATCTCTTGAGCAGTCATCAGGGTATTGAACAAAGTGCAACAAGCAATCCCAACCAAATAGCATAAGGCAGGGTATTAGACCTAGGGGTGATTTTGGGGGACAATGCTGCAATGTATGTATGTATTTATGTTGTTTCAGCTACAAAAGATGGTGGAGCAGGGGTGCCCAACCTTCATGTTTTTGATGTGAAAACTGGAAAGTGCTTAAAGTCATTCATCCAGAAAAAGATGCAGAATTGGTAAGTAGTGTTAAGGGAACTTATTATTTAAAAATGTGATCTGAATTGCAGAAACTGATTTAGTTGTGCAGTTGGTAATATGCGGATTTACTTTAAGAAATTAAAGTACGTTGTTATTAGACCAGAGCATTCACCAGGGTTGGTGAAATAAATACCACCAGTTAAAAAACACCATAGAAACAGAGTGAGTCAGAAGGGGCCTTCTGCACCATCTTGTCTGACCCTCGACTCCAGCCAGCTCCACTCATGACATGCCTAGCATGTGCATGTCCAGCATGTCCTTAAACACCCTCACCACTGGGGCTTCAACCACCAAGCAAACACATGCACACAATGTTTTTGTATAATTTTAATAATTATTAAACATTTTGAGGCTAAATGCCTTCATTTTAAAGGTTTGGAATAATGTTCCCAAACCATCCTGGCAGGTGCTGCTGTTCTCAGGTTTTAATGCTATCATTCCTGCCCCTCTCTCTAATCATTAGGTGTCCTTGCTGGTCAGATGACGAAACCATATGTGCCAGGAGTGTTAACAATGAACTACACTTCTTTGAAAACAACAACTTCAGTATGCAAGTCTTTCTAAATAAACTTTTGGTCTTTTTTGTGGCATTACTTGTGTGCTTTGAATTGCTATGGTTATCATAGCTGTCCACTTCTGCAGAACTTATTACGCTTATTTCCTGCCTGTATTCTTGCAAGGAAGTTAAAGTACTTTACATAATTCTCCTCTTCTCCATTTTAGTTTTGTAACAATCCTTGAAGAAGTTTAGGTTGAGAGTCAGTCATTAGGCCAAAATCATCTGGTGAACTTAATGGGCAAGTGAAAGCTAGAACCCAGATCTTCTGAGCATGTCCAACACTCTCAAAATCTTGTCACATTGGCATTTTTTTGCATGTTTCCTTGGAAGTGAGCCTTGTTATATTCAGTGGAGCTTTGCCCCAGACAAGTGTACATAGGATTGCAACCTGAGTGTGACTATAGAAGCAGATGGGAGAGGCTGCTACTTCGTCCTATACATCAGCAGCTATGTCACATGCACATTCCCCTTGCTGGCACAGCTCTATGTCCACCACTGAGGCTGCCTCTTGGGAGCTGTTGCAGATACTTTAGCCCAACCTGGACCCCCCAGCCATGTTGGACTGCAGTGCTCATCATGGGTGCCCAATGGCCATCCAGAGGACACCAGGATGGGGAAGGTTTCTCTAACTAGTCATAAACAGTGCCTGCCAGAGATGTACAACAGCAGGGATATGCGGTACACTTGAGATTTGTTGCCTGCTGCAAGCAAGCAGCTGCATCTGCAGTAGTGAATCATGCCTGAAGGCAGGACTCTGTTTGTTCTAGTGTTCAAGGCTGAGAGCTAACAAGCTGCTTGCCATTCAGGAAATGTGAGGGGATTTAAGAAGTAGACTCTGATACACAATAGAGCAGCTTCCTTAACTTGATACCAGCCAGTTGTTTGGGACTTCAACTCTTATCAGCCCCAGCCAGCCCAGTTATTATTCGGGAATGCTGGGAGTTGTAGTTCAAAATATCTGGAGGGTACCAGTTTGGGAAGACTGCCCTAGATACTTAAAAGGGACAATTAGGTCAAAATAGAATAGAGTGCTTGAATCAGCAGAAAGACAACTTAGGAAAGGAAAGCGAAGATGAGGGAACAGAGCATTGATCTTGGCTTAAAGTGAGTTGCTTTGAGCCACAGCTAAATCTGTATATGAGTTTTTATGCAAGTGCTTCCTAAAATAGAGCCAGTTTGGCAGAAAAAGCTTTAGTATGTTTAGAACATATGATTTGTTTCCCTAATATATTTGAAAATATAAAATGATTTGCACAAAGAATAAATAGTGTTAGTGAAAACCTATGTTAAGGTGTATTCCCCAACTCAGCAGAGCAGGTTTGGGGAACTGCATGGGGAAGAAGGAAGTCTCTTCTGTCAGCATTGGATACAGCCCAAGATATGCTTTTAATTATTGTTTTCAGTATTGGTAATATTTATATACACTTCTCATTGAACAAATCTGGATGTATTTTATCACCTAGAATAAGCTCATAAAGACACACAATCTAACAGTGCACAGCATTTTGTTAACTTTATTAATCTTAGTAAAATTGTGATTTTTCAGGTACAATTGCAAATAAACTTCACTTGCAAAAAGTCACCGATTTTGTGTTATCACCAGGTGATCAGATGACCAAGGTACTTCTTTTTGACGTTTTTCTTTCATAATTATGATTTTATAGGGTTTTAAATATATATCTTTGTGCTGCTCTTGAGAGCCAAAATAACAAGTAAACCAAATGTTACTGATGCAGGTTGCTGTCTATGTTCCTGGAAGCAGAGGGGCTCCCTCTTTTGTAAGGCTCTACCAGTACCCCAACTTTGGAGGCCCACATTCTGCATTGGCCAACAAGAGTTTCTTTAAAGCTGATAAGGTCACAATGCTGTGGAACAGCAAAGGTAAAAACAATCTTATTACCCTTTACCCTATCTTGATTTATGACTTTATGAGTAGATTGGCTTTTTGTGTTACTTGACTATGTAGCTTACATATGTGACTGTGTAATTCAAATGCTAAAATTGGCAGTAACATTCTTTAGTTCTGTTCCTAGCAACTCTTACATCCAGTGATCCTATGTACACTTACTTGGAAATAGGCTCAGTTGAATGCAGTATCAACTTTTGAATAAGCATGAATAGGAATTATCTGCCATGAATGGGAATGGCACAGTTCCTCCATATCTTTCATCCATTCCAGTGGAACTTGCACTGCAGAGATTCTAGTACAACAGTACAAGCATTATCCTTTAGCAAGGGGAATGTTTTTCTTTTTTTACACAGATCCCAGGACTTCTACTGTATTGATTTCCTGCAAGAAACCTAAGGAGACTTACATAATCCTTCTCTCCATTTTATTCTTACAACAGCCCTGCGAATTAGATTAGGCAGAGATTTAGTGACTGGCCAGAATGCTGCTTGTTCTTTTGTCTATAAAAACATATAGATTTCGTGTTACATAATTCCTCCAAAACCTAACACAAAGGATGTTGTAAATATGGGCAATATCCAACAGGGCCACTCTGCTTCTTCTAGTTCCACTGCACTTGCTTTAATTCTTCTAAAAGGGCCTGGGATATGGGTGGAAATGGACATTTCCAGTTTGGGAGAGGTCATGGGAAGCGCTCTTCTGTGTGCTCTGCGGGCCTGCCCTGTGCTGGAAATGAGGTTTCTGCTAGTTTTGGATTATTTTTGTAAGTGCAGAAGCCCTGTGGCCTAAGCAATGAGTCCCGTGGGCACATGGATGCAACAGAATATTACCTAGAATATGTAACTGTAGAAATAATTCCTTGTCCAGTAATGCTGTTTTCTTGCAAGCCTTACCAAGCAAATATGTGTATGTATTTGCTGTTAATTATAAATCACAATTTTAAAAACCCTTTTAAAAAGCTGATATGTACTATCATTATCCAACAACACCACATAATATTTAATATGTAGAATAGAGTGCTTGTCTCTCAGTGTAACATGCAATGGAGCTCCTTGTTTTACTGCTCTAGTTAGCACCACCCTTTGGACTAGAACCTCTGTTACTTCAGTGAGGTATAAGGTATATAGGTCAAAAAACAAATACAGAGAAAGTAGAGTAAAAAACAAGTCTAATCTTGTCACAATATCTTAATTAATTAATGATATTTATATGCCATCCTGTCGCACAAGCCTCAGGACAGCTTACATAAAATATAACATAAATAAATTCCCAACCCACACTGGCTGCAGTTAAAAACATAGAAAAGACAATATTAAAACTTATTAAAATGTTACTGGAATAAAAAGGTCTTAACCTGGTGCTGAAAAACAAATAACAACGGCGCCAGGCAGACCTCTCTGGGAGTGCATTCCATAGATGGGGCACCACCGCAGAGAAAGTCCTCCTCTGGGTACTTTCCCTCCTAATATCTTTCCCGGAGGGTTCCCGGAGGAGGGCCTCTGCTGCCGATCTCAGGGGGTGGGAGGGCAAGTATGGAGGAAGGCGTTCCTTTAGGTATCCAGGTCCCAAGCCATTAGTACATGGAAGTATATACTAACATATGTTAGTACATATATTCGTATATGGAATGTTCAAATATCCTTGTTCCTGGTGCAACTGGCAAATCATTTCAGCATGAGGGCTGGAGTCTTTTTAAAAGACATATGTTCACCTTGCTTGACAGTGTTTTAACTGTTAACTGGAATCCTTTGCTGCAGCAGGTAAAACCAGATATGGGACCAGGCTTCAGTTTGTACATATTACTCTATGGGATTGTTTACTGAATAGGGCCAGAGGTCCACATAGTCCAGCATGCTGTTTCCCACAGTGGTCAACCAACTGCTTCTGGGAAGCCTGTAAGCCATCATTGCGCCCCTTGTACTTGGAGGCATTCTGCTTTTGGAACCTGGAGGTTGCATATGTGTTACAGTTTCATCTTATAAAAATGTACATTATCAATATTGGTTAGTTTGGTTAATAATATTGGTTAGTTTGTTTTTTAAAATGTTTAATTTTTTTTACATCTGAATAGCCACTGCTGTACTTGTTATAGCAAGTACAGAAGTTGATAAAACTGGAGCATCCTATTATGGAGAGCAGACACTGCATTACATTGCAACAAATGGGGAAAGCGCTGTTGTGCAACTGCGTAAGTGATTACATTGTGAATTGGAAATTCTTCTAATATGTGTTAGAAATCCTGTGTTATATGAAAAACTTTAACCTGCTATATTCACTCTAATTTACTGACCTGTATTTGATTACATTTCTGTGGAGGCTTACGGTTATTACTTGTGTTACCTAATCTTTTCTGGTAATCAAAGCAGAGTAAGATATGCAAGAGTTGAACAAAAAGTGTGCATCATATAGAGGAAATGGGGACAGAAGATAGTACTTAAACTAAGAAAGGAGCTTCCCCCCAAGTCTTGAACTGGGAAAAGAAACTGGTTGCAACTAGGGCTCTCAGTGCATTTTTAAAGATTCATTCCTCTTTCCCCAAATGCTTTTTAAAAATGATATTTCAATATATATATAAATCTGCTTTCTTGAGTATATGATTACCTAACTATAACTGGCAGGTTGCAGGAGTTTCAGGTGCCCTGAGTTCCAAAATCTCTGCCCACTGTCAAATTTACTGAGGCTACCTTTTATCCTGTAACTAAACATTTCCACTATAAGGAACTAAATTTATTAACTAAAGATAAAGTTGCAGCCCACCTTATTAACTTTTTCAGGGCTAATAATCCTGAAAAAAACTCAGGCAATGACCAGGCCAGTGAAAAGGCTGAGATTTCTCCCATGATTGAGCAAGCTGATTGCTCAGTGCTGCTTCTGAGCAAATACCAGGGGATATTTGGCTGAGCTTTGTCACAGTGAAATATTTAGGTTCTAGTGTATGCCTGCACTGCTTGTGCCATACCAAGTGTAATGCAGTCCATGAGGCCTTTGAATGCTCAACAATCTACACTCAAATGTATACCATTGTCTGTTTTTTAAAGAAATGTTTATGTTGTTTGCTGCCCCAATGAGGCAGCAAAACCTTGAACCTCCTGAGCCCCTGTCACACTGCCATACCATAGCTAGAATGCCCTTTTCCCCAAGTGGTGGTGGCATTGTCTAAAATCTTAAGGAGGCTTTTACCAGCAATGATTGCTAGAAATTTGGATCACTTATGATTGCTCTGCAAAATCATAACTTTTTTTGTCTTGGGAAAATGTAGATATTGTTTTATCGCACTGCCTGTTTTTTTCTTTTCTTCTAGCAAAAAATGGTCCTATTTATGATGCAAGTTGGAATCCCAATGCCACAGAGTTCTGTGTTGTGTATGGCTTTATGCCTGCCAAAGCTACTATCTTCAATCTCAAATGTGATCCTGTCTTTGACTTTGGAACTGGCCCACACAATGCTGCATACTATAGTCCTCAAGGACATATTTTAGTATTAGCTGGATTTGGGAATCTCAGTGGACAATTGGATGTGTGGGATGTTAAAAACTACAAACTGATTTGCAAAGCACAGGCATCTGATTCCACATATTTTGCGTGGTGCCCTGATGGGGAACATATTGTAACAGCTACATGTTCTCCAAGGCTACGAGTTGGGAATGGATACAAGATCTGGCATTATACTGGCTCTGTCCTATACAGATATGAAGTCCAGCAAAATGCAGAACTTTGGCAAGTTGCCTGGCAACCATTTTTGGATGGCGTATTTCCAGCAAAGGCAGTAACATACCATGCTGTTCCAAGCAAAGTTCCAAAGGATGAGCCAAAGGCTGCTCAAGCTTATCGGCCTCCAGCTCTGAGAAACAAACCTGTAACTAGTTCTAAGCTTGTAAGTAACAATTATCTTCATTGTAGAATGTATTACTGTGAAATGCCTTCTCAGTTCTGGGAAAGTGTGGAAGGGGCTAAATCCAATTCTTCGGGGGGGTTTTTTCACCTGACCAGGTGATTCGCACATGAACAGGATTAACTGGGGGTTTGAAGTTGCAGCTTTATCTCCCAGATTGGATTCTTCATCCCCCCCAAAACTCTTCAGTATACAAAATGTATATGAAGTGTCAGTTTGCTTGCGTTTCCTCCTGCTGACGCGCTGGATTTAGGGTTCAAGAAAGAGATCAAAGAAAACAGTGAGAATGGAAGTACATGCAAACTAATCTTTCTTTCTTATTTCCATGGGTTGGATTCAGGCTTGCTTATACGTAGAGCAGACCCACTGAACTCAGCGTTACTCAAATCTCATTAATTTTAATGGATCTGCTCTAAATATGGCTAAGTCTAAATCCAATGCTATATTTTCAAGTAAATATTATTAACCAGGTGAGTCTGTTTCACACTGTGCACTAAAAGTACAGTAACTGCTTTTCCTCTGTCTTTATTTCTAATAGAAATATTCAGATATCCAAAAAATGTGTTCCATCCGGTCATAAAAACAGAACACACATTAAATTTAATTTATTCCTATAGAAATGGAAACATCCTTTTTTCTGCTGAAATAGCTATCAGTCCTTTTGGACACAGCAGTTGTTAATATAAACTTTAATAAAGAAACCTGCTGACATGCTAGGAGGACTTGCTGGTACAGCACTTGGATAAACATGTTTGTGTCTCTATTGTTTAGAAGTGGAAGAGTCATAATTTGGTTAAGGTCATGTCAGACCATGTACCTGTTTCTCTTTCATAATGTGTTAATGAGTATGCTGGGATTTAATTCCACAAACTGCACCCTGGATGCTTAGGATTTGTTCTACACTGGATTTCTTTTTCATTAGTCCCTCCTCCCTGTGTTCATCCTCCATTTTGCTGTATCAAGGGAGCCTGTTCCATGACTGAGCAGAACACTTGATGTGTAGCAGAGGAGGAAAGCCTTGCAGGAGATGGTGTTTGCACAAATGCATTCTGGTAATGAATTCCTCTTTCCCATGAGGATTATACTGTTTTGAACATATCCCTGATGAGTTCTGACACTAATGGGGATTTGTTAAAAGAACACTCTACAGAATGCTCATATCTCCAAGTGGAGAGGGATCTCACCCCTCTTTGATAATACTTTAAGAACTCTAGATGTTGAGAGAAAAGGGAAAGTTAAAGAGTGATGAGTGTAACTAATCAGAAGGTGAATTATATTTCACCCCGTGATTGCAGTATAAAGATTTAATTCCTTGGGGATTACTTCTGAACAGCTTGAAACCAAGCAGTACATAAAGTCTTATACAAGATTGGTCCTTTTTACTAGAAATTGGTTGAAGATGCATTAAGCATAGTCAAATGTATATGGTATATGTGAAGATTCTTCATCTCAGTAAAAATTTGCTACACACATGCAAACTTACATGTATGCACAAACTGCACTACTTTTCTCTCAGACTCCCATATATGGGGCAGAATTTGACATCATGCAAGTGGACTTCTCACGTGGTGAGACTCCCCTCTCCTCCTCCCAAATCTGCTCCAAAATGCTGAGTGTCAAGTGCTGCTGTTCAGGGTTCCAACAGCCTTCATATATCTTCTACCAGGATGTTGCATTCCATTCCATTCCCCTCACCTCTGGCTTTTTGTTTGACTACCTTCTTGACAGCCACCCAGCATTCTGTGGCCACTGAGTATGTTCAGGCCTCTTGAATGGTTTTGGGTGTTCCCCCCTTTAGGTTTTTTCTAAAGGTTTTTGTAATTGAGGAAACCTTGGGGGTCCCCTTTTAACAACTTGAAGTTTTGTCACTATTATGTATGGATGGTGAGCTTTTGCTAGTTATGGATTTGCTCTGAGAAAATGAGTTCAATCTTAATGGAGACTCTAAATGAGCGAGGGTCATGGGATTTTTTTTGGATTCCCCATTCCAAGCTTGGAGACAGCACTCAGACCTTAGAGTCAGACAGGTTAAATGTGCAGAGCAAGACTCTGCATTCAGTGATGGAAGCCTCCAAATTTAGGGCCTTCTGAGCATCCCAGTAAGGTTGCACTCTTAAGGTTCAATCCTATGCATATTTAGACAGGAAAAAACCTCTTCTACTGGCTGTCTGAAATCAGCATATGGAGAAGAGTTCAGGCAGCTTTCCCCCAAGCTCAAGCTCATTCATTTTTAATCTTCGTTTTGTATTTGCTTCTTTTTAGCACGAGGATGAGCCACCACAGAATATGAGACCACAGTCAAAAACTGGTGATAAGCCATTATCTAAAACTGCACTCAAAAATCAAAGGAAGCATGAGGCAAAGAAAGTTGCTAAGCAGGTATTGCTGGTGTCTTAATTCTCTTGACCATTATGTTGCTTTCACATTTTATAAACTGGTTTACCAGTATTCTGTCCAGCACTTTCATATGAGCTAAAAGTCTGCTTAAAAAGGTAAAGGTTTCCCCTGGACATTAAGTCCAGTCATGCCTGACTCTAGGGGGCAATGCTCATCTCTGTTTCCTAGCCGAGGGAGCCAGTGTTTGTCCGCAGACAGTCGCTGTGGTCATGTGGCTGGCATGACTAAACACTGAAGTGCACAGAACACTGTTACCTGCCCACCCAAGTGGTACCTTTTTATCTACTTGCATTTGCATGCTTTCGAACTGCAAGGTTGGCAGGAGCTGGGATGGAGCAACGGGAACTCACCCGTTGATCAACCAGCCCAGCAGCACAGCGGTTTAAACCACTGCGCCACCTGCAGTCCTTAGTTATGAAATCTTCTAAATTAATTGGTTCTGGAGAACTGAAAACATCTTGGTGATTAACAAAAATGCTCCTTGAAATTGTTATATCTGAAAGCTGTTGTTTTAGTTCGTTCTATGTTTGTTGTTTAAAGGAGGCCAGAGCTGAAGGGAACCAGGAAATTGCTCCAGCCCCACCAGCACAGAATGTATTGCACAATCAAGTACCATCTGTGACATCAGGAGACCCTGAGGTGGATAAGAAGATAAAGAATCTGAGAAAGGTGGGGAAGGTCCATTTCCAGTCTGTTATAGCTGTCACTTCTGTCACAGTGGCAATTTAAAGCTTAAATAGGTTCACCCCTGTTTTAAGAAAAAAAAATGGTATGTGGACTACCTGTAAATAGAGTCAGAAGAACATCTCCAAACTGAGCAATTGCCAAGTTGATACAGGAATGCTGGCAAGAAGGACTAGAGAAAAATTTTACAAGGCTGAGTGCCAAACTAGACATGACACTGTGTGTGTGTGTGTGTGTGTGAGAGAGAGAGAGAGAGAGAGAGAGAGAGAGCGAGAGAGCGAGCGAGCGAGCGAGCGCGAGGCTCCCAATGACTATTAAAAGAACTGGAACTGCAGGAGCTTGTGAATTTGATTACATCAGGAATAGGGAATGGTGGTTATCCCATATCTTTTGGCTGTTTTTCCCCCAATCGATTTTCCAACTGCTTTCCTTCCCACAGAGGAAGAAAGATAGGATGGAAGAGAGCAGCTGAGGGAACAATTCTGACTGGGAAAGCAAGCTGTTACGAAACAGTTTTGCCCTACTCCTCCTCCAGTCCTCTGATCTGGTTTGAAGGCAGTTTTGTTGGTGGTTTGGCTCTGAGTGTGGAGGGAGAGCCACTGGTACTTATTTTGCCTTTTTGCCTCATAACAAATAACAGAGAAGGAATGGAATGTAGGAAGGAATGTGGGAGTGAGTGAATGTGCGCAGATGCATGTGTGTATAAGAGACAGAAATGTATGTGTGCATGTACACAAAAGAGGATGCATGAGTGATATATTCATTCTCTTGAATAAAGGAAGTTTCCATATATTGGCCTTAGGCCTAGCTTTGTATGCTTTTACCAGAAACACTGAACCTCAGGTCCCTGGGCCAAATGCAGCCAGATGGCCATCCCCTTCCCCAGGCTTCACCTCTTGCCCCTGATTGCCAGTCATTGGTAAGCACCTAGATTCAGTTTTCTTCTACATTCCACATTTTGTAGTGGAAATAATGTTGGAAAGGAATATAAGGATGCCACTGAGGCTTAGCAGAATCCTTAAAGTCCAATAGAGGACATTTGTTCTTTTTCCTCATGCTGCATAACTTTTTTTAATGCATAAAGTTTTTTTTTAAATGTGTTGCTTTGTCATTTTCTTAAACATGTTTTTCACCACAGAAACTAAAAGCAATTGAACAGCTGAAAGATCAGGCTGCTACAGGCAAACAGCTGGAGAAAAACCAGGTATACCTATGTCCATGGTCCCTCATAGATTCTATTAATAACTAATTTCTATATTCCTTAAAAGATTGTGTCCAACCATATCCTTCTCTCAGGGGAACAGAAACTGGTGGCAGGTTGAATTTTCCCATTTCCTTGCATCCTTTCCATGCAACCACTTTAGTGCAGATCTGGTGTGTGTGCAGTGGGCAGACTATGGCTGGCAGGGAGAAGGGGAAGGGAAATTCTCATTGTATAAGCTGAGATCTCCTTGTGCATTGGGAAGATTTAGCCCAAAGTATAAATAAAGAAACTTTATCCTCTTCTGAAAAGAACCAAGTTCGCCAGAATAGAAAATCAATGAGTTCTTTTTTTTCCATTACAATTAAAACAAAGGCTCTAAAACAGATTCCAGTATACCTTTATGAGTGCTGTAGCACATCACGTGGGATTGAAAGCAAAGGGAGACTTCATGAATGCACAGGGCTCCCACTGCTGCAAGACTCTTTGAATGACATTCTTAAGAAAGGTGGAGCCCAGCTGAATTAAGCCAAAGGGCCATCTAGTTCAGGGATGGGCAACCTGCCTGCTGTGAGCTGTGCTATAGCAGGCGGTATAAGGGACCTGAGCTTCCCCTCCCTATCTCCCCCAACATACCTGCATACTTCCCAGCCCCCTCCTCAGGTATTCCATGTAAATCAACTCGCAAAGCGAGACATTTTCATTTCTGTTGTGGGTTTAATCCCCTTCATCTGGTATGCCATGATAGGGATGAAAATCAGATCTCCTTCCTCAGCATGCTGCAATAGAAATGAAAATGCTCCCCCACATGGACACCATTGGCTAATTTGTATGAATGTGTTGAGAAATCCATCACCTACATGGTGATGAGGGGTCTTTGTCACAGCACAGCTAGGATCAGCTATCAGCTTCCTAACTAGAACATCTTATTAGCCACTGATCAGAGCAAACCATTTTCCCCTGCTGCATGGTAGTAAAGTCTCCCTTTCTCACCACACAGCAAGGGCAGGCTGGTAGGCAAACTGCCCATGGAAGGAGAGTGATCTCTCCCTTCATGGGTTTGTTTACTACTTGATTCTGTTGTGTGATGAAAGGGCACTCTTTCTCAAACACAACAGCCATAGCTTTTCCTGCAATTCAGGGTGCTGGTTTGGACCTATAAAGGCCTGAACGGCTTGGGACTGGGATACCTGAAGGGACGTCTCCTTCCTTATATGCCCTCATGCCCCTTAAGATCTGCGGGAGAGGCTCTGCTCTGAGAACCCTCCCTGAAGGAGGTAAAAAGGATATCTACTCGGAGGAGGACCTTCTCTGCGGTGGTGCCCAGATTATGGAATGTGGTCCCTGGAGAGGGGTGCCTGGTGCTGAGTTTAGATTCTTTTCGGCGCCAGGTTAAAACCTTTTTATTTAACTGTTATTTTAAAACTAATTTAAATTTTAATGTTTAACAGTCACTTTTATTTAACTTATTTAATTGTATTTTTGGTTAATTGTTATTTATTGCTGTTTTATTGTTGTTGTTTTAATGATTGAAAGCTGTCCCGAGATGCCATGCATAAGGGATGGCATACAAAAGTTTTAAATAATAAATAAACCTAGTGAGAGGCTGGTCAGTCAACTGGGGAATCCCTCAACTATTAACCAAAGGTTCTTCATGCCTATTTTAAACCATGCATTTTTATAAGCTTCATTCATCGCCCGTTTATTATCTTTAAGTTTTTCTTTACTTGCCTGGAGTAGCAAAGCTCCAGTCTATTTTGGGATGTGTATAAGTACACAGGGAGATGTGGGGAATGTATGGATTACATTAGTAAATCTTTCAAATATTTACATGTGTAACTTAGAGTTTTCTGTTCTGTATACATGGCTTGATTTTAACTGTGCATTATAAGTAAAATCTGATGTGCATTATAAGTAAAATCTGATGGTATATGTATTTTAGTTGGAGAAAATGCAGAAAGAAGCTGCACTTATAAAGGAACTGGAAGAATTGGAACTGGGCATCTAGAACTAGAGAAAATGAAGTCAGCATTTTGTTCTACAGAAACGATAAATGAATAAAAATGTTCAGTTTTAAAATACTTGTTATATAGCTTCATTTTATTTCCTTGCCCCTGACATCTGAATAAATGTAAAATTTTGAATTGAAGTTTTGTAATTCTAAACTAGGCAAACCAGTTGCTGTGGTTTCAAAACTTTATTGCACAAATCCAAAATAAATTATGTTGGCTTCTCACTTGATTCTTTGTTGAAGAACTTGGTTTCATCTATAGATGTGATACTCTGCAACATAACAATATAGAATAAAATAATAAAGCATTTACCTTTAATAAAAATGTTGCTTTTGTATCACAGGTCTAAGATTTTTCATTTTTACAGTTAAAAAATCACCAGTGTAAACCTAATCTGCATCTGCTGTAGTGTTTTCTTTTTCTGTCTTTCTATCTGGATTTAGCCACAGGTTCCTAGAACTTAGTGTTGTTGTTTTTAATTTCTGGTTATATACAAGAGTAACATAAATAAGACAAAGGACTGAACTTAGGGGAAAATAGACACAACTGTTACTGTCCATTAAGGGCCTGACCTTGTAAACACAGTAGAAATAATTTTATGGTTTGACATATTAACTGAAATAGAAAGTCTGACGCACATTTAAGATATTCTGAATTGTGGTTCATTGTAGCTCTTGACTTGATGCAAAAAACAGTCTAGGGTGCAAGCACTGAATTTTGACACTTTTTTTAGCTGCAGGTTACAGCCAATCTATTACAACTTGCTTATGAAATCGCTTTCCATGTCAAAAGACATTTGCCATAGAACATAGGGAATTACTGTGAAAAAACTTTTTTCATGCATAGAACTAGTTGTGCAAGTCTTTTAATTCAGGCCATTTGTTTGTGATAGTTCTAGGCATCTAGATTATATTGATTATATTGAGTCAAAGAGCTTCACTTGAATACAAGCCTAAATGGATGCAGGAAATCCCTAAGCCTGATCATATTCTACAGTGGCACATCCCAGATTTAAGTAATAGAAAAGGATATACAATATGCTTGTGAGAAGTTTATGCACATGTATATTAGTTACAGATTTCCTCATCCTGTTGCAGAATTTTTGATTTATTCAGAGAGGAAGAAACACTGTATTGGAGATGGACAGGAGGGGAAGGATGTATGAACTTTCTGAATTTACAAGCTGTTCCTGTGACAAACTCTGCTTTGTTAACGAATCTCCCTTTCCAACTTATTATACATGGATATTTTTCTTGGTCCCCTTGAAATGTTTTCTTTTGTGCTAGAAACTAACAATTTTCATAAGATGATTGAGTTTCTCCACCCCTAGAAGGCATACAGTGTACACAGCCACACAAGAATTCTTGACTTTTTGCACATGTAGTTTCTGGGTCTTAAGCAACAATCGATACCTCTACACATACATTGCAGCCAAATGGTGATGAGTAAGCCTCTGTATCCAAGATGATCTGCATCTATGTGGTGTTTATGCAGCTTCTAGCATACCCTAATATATACAACAATGGGTTCCATGCAGTGCAGTCTTGCTTTATTGGTATCGCCTTTATACAAGAGCCCCTATCCTGCAAATCTAAGCCAGCCTATCAGACTACCCCATCCAGTCCACAGCCCTTCCTGGGTTTCCTTCAGCTGTGTGGGTTTAGACGTTAAGCCATCCTTCTGCAAGGATTTCTTCTGCATGCAACTCCCCCTCCTGCTGGAATGGATTTTGGTGGTGCTGGGAGAAGCAGTCAAATAACTGTTTGAACCTATAAAGGATTTAGTGTTACTTCAATGTATTTCTTTCCTGATTGAAACTCAAGGTGGTAGACAGCATCAACAACAACAACATCAGTGATGAAATGACTGATTTTATTTTTCAATAAAACTTATTTTTAAAAAATAGTTGGCACCTTCTCACTTCAGTTGTCTGTGTGGGCCATGATGATGTAACCATTATAAATGTAACTGGAAATAGCATAAAAGCTGCCAAGAGAGCCCTGAGCTGGACCAGTCTCTTGTATACTAATGTCACATAGTTATTTCTTTGTAGGCCATCCAGTTTCTTAGTATTCTAGTATAGTACATAAAAACCTATGCATTTGATGCCCTCTAGTGGAATAGCCATGCAATCTTCGTTAGCAAATAATGAGATTTTTGAAGGGTTCATATAGAATTTGCCTTGTAACATTTGCAAAAAATCCTATAGATATCTGCAAAGGACTGCTGCTATTCCAGCACTTACACTGCTAGAAAGTTCTTAACTTTTTTTTTGCTATTTGTGTAGGTCCTTTTATTCACTGCCATTTACTTCCATTGCTCTTCCTGGGTCTTCATACCCTTTTGTCAAAATATGGATGTTAGGATGGCCACATTGAGATACTGAGATCAGTATGAGATGTTATCCACCTGTGCTTTCTGGCAACATTTCTGGAAAGGCCTTGGCCTGTGGTATTTTTGAAAACAACACTGAACTGCTGTAAGGATGAAAACTCATTCATTTAAAACAGATAGGGTTGTACCTGGGGTCACTGTTGTCCCCTCCTGCTTTTACTTTACCTCTTTTCTGTTTCCATTTTTTTTATTCTGTCACATGTCAACCACATATGGTAAAATGTACCATCTATCTCTTTGCATTTCCAACATTTTCTATTGTAATTCTTGTACTTTTTCTGTATATCTTTTGTGGTAACATACCACTGGAAATACATCCTGTACCAATTTCCTCTTAGTGCTTGGCATATGGAAAATTTTATGTCCTCTGTCCATAAGACTTCCAATTGACAGGCTGATATTTATTCTTGAAGATTCTCCGTCCAGCACCTCAGGAAAATTTTGACTTGTTGAGTCTCAGTATCACATTTAAGCAGTTGTTTATAAATACATCCTAGGAGATGGTCTGCTTGGTTTTTAATTATAATTTCAAAGTTTGTCAAATATTATGTCTTTTCCAGTTTGAATTTCCTTTTATAATCTTGAGGTTTGCTGATGATAAAGGAGCCCCTCTATGTTTTTTTCTTCATCTTTCAATTCTTGCCATGACTTAACCCACCCTTGTTGGTCAACCACATCTCCATGTTATAAATTTGGTTTTTTTCCTAGAAAGTTTTCCATGGTATGCTTCTATTGAGGACATTATAGGAGATACTGGAGGGCTAATTCTTCCCATGGCATACCAAATTTTTATTAAACCATCTCTAAATATACGGCCCTTAGTTGGAGTCAATGCTTTTTTGATTCTTTAGCCCATAGCTGATTGTATATCCCTTCCTCTAGGTCTGCAATTTTCAATTTCACTAATCTTTCATTGAAATTAAAAATCCAATCTGTAAGGACCCTGAGGGTGTGGAATGGGCTTCCACGAGAGGTCGTTGAGGCTCCATCGGTGCGGGTGTTCAAGGATAGGCTGGATGTGCACATGGTGGGCATGTCGTGAGCAGAGCCGGCTGGTGTCGGAGGTCAGACTAGATGGCCCGGGAGACCCCTTCTGACTCACGCTGTTTCTCTGTTTCTGTGTTTCTAATTCATACTCAGTCTCAGTTTGGTAATGCAAGGTCCCCTCTTTTTCCCCCCATCTTGTAGTACTTTAATCCTTGGGATTTTTTTATTCCAAATAAAAACATTCAGTTTTCCTTGCCTATCTTGTAAAGTGTTTCCCTGTATTGTAATTGGTAACATCTGAAACAAGAAATTCAGTTTTGATAATACATTCATCTTTATGATGGAGATTCTTCCTAGCCACAAAACTTTTAATGTAGACCATATCTCTAGGTCCTTTGAAATCTTTATCCAGGCTGTTTTATAATTATCTTGAAATAGTGTATCATTATTTCCTGTCACACTTATGCTTAAGTGCTTGACCAGATTTGAAGTTATTTCATACCCTCAGATTTGTTTTGATATTTCCTCTTCTTGTTTTGCTAAAAACTTTGTATTGGTATTTGTATTATTTAATCTAAAGAACTCTTCTAAGTCTTTTTCACATTTCTTCAATATATCATCTTGTAGTAAAAGGTTGTCATTCAGTCTCCATCTTCTAGCTCCCAATTGTTCATCTTGCCAGATATTCTCAGACTACCATTAGAAATTATCTTAAGAGAATTGAATTCTTACAGTCTTTATTTTCAAGATCAAAGTTTTAGATATCCAACCCATATCTATCCTTGACTATGTCCGATGTCTGTCTGAGAAGAAGGTGTAGTCCCTGATTTTTGGATTGTGAATCTCCACACATCTTCAATTTGCAGTATTTTCATATAATTAAAAGCATTTTGGAGAGTTTGCCCCCTTCGTTTTCTTTGAATGGTTGTTACTGGGATCAGACTTTCACCTTCCTGAAACTCTATTAGCAATTTTAAAAAATTGCATCATATGGGGTATATATGATGTCACCAAAGTACACGTCTTTCCATTTGGACAACTCATATTAAGAATGATGAATGTCCATCTGGGTTCTTCTATGACATTCAGGCTTTGATAACATAAATCACAAAGCCTTTCTTTTTAGTATCTGCTAGGGCTGGGTATTTTCTGCCCAACTTCTTGCATTTTAAAATGTGAGGATATTTTTTTCTTTATATGGGCTTCTTGAATATACATTAGGTCTGCTTTTTGTTATTTTAGAGAGTTAAAAATTTTAGTATGTTTAGAGGGAGAGTTCAATCCTTTATCATTGATTCACAGGATTTTCATTTTGGCTTTCCATTCTGAGCTATTGCTCAATATTGTTTCCTCTCCTTCTTTGTTGCAAAATTAGCCATGTCAAATAGTGTCCACTCTGGGGGGTGTGATTCATCATCTTCCTCACAGGTTTCACTTCTTTTCATCTTGTCTTTGAAAGTCTCTAACGCCATTGTATATTTCTTCCTTTGCTTTATAATCTTATAGCAATTCAACAGTTTGGTTCCACTTTTGATTCTAAAATTACAAGAGAGCGAATAAAACTTTCTTAACATAAATATTATTTTTGAGAAAAATGTAGGAAAGAATAGACCATGAGCAATAAATTTAGGAGAGAAGGGGGGAGAAATAAAGAGAAAGAGGGGGGGAGAAAAGACAACATTAGTATATTTTGGGTGTGCTAGATTCCTATTTAAATTATATGCAGAGCACATCATGAGAAAGGTGGGGCTAGATGAATCACAAGTTGGAATTAAGATTGCAGGGAGAAATATCAACAACCTCAGATATGCAGATGATACCACTCTAATGGCAGAAACGGAAAAGGAA